CTTACTTAATCTATTTTTTTATAAATTCCATCAAGACTATATGCTGAGACTTCAAGCAATTATATTTTATTCTAAGTCAAAGCTTATACTATTTTATATTTAGAACTATGTTCCATATATGATAGTAGTGCTATTTATTGTTCATAATTTCAAAATTATACAGTCAAAATTTCTTATTGGAATCCAATATTATCAAATTTATATCTATAAATACCAGCAAATTAATAAATGAAGTCTTGTTAATGTTTCGTGTCATAGAGTAATGTCAATATTTTAATTGAATTAAATGATACCGTATATGTACAGAGTTTCAGCTATTAAAGTGAGTTTCAGGATTACTGGCCCTATACTATGCCGATTTAAATACTGAACAGTACTATATTAGAAGATACTCTTTTTATTATAACTATTGATGGAAACCTAACAGCACTGAATCTTGAAATATTTGGAGGATCTTACCTATTTTCTATAACTAATTACACATTCAAATATATATACACTAATGTAAGAAGTTATCCGACCTTTTTATTTGTTGATAATCAAGTAAATTTGATGATCATATAGTATAATGGAGCTCATTTTACTTATGAAATATTAAATAGCATTTAATATCCAATTGTTGATTATAATTAAATATCGATAGGTATATTAAAAACTGGAATTTATATGGCAATTGCTGCATAAAATAACAATTATTTATATTTTTATCCTATATAAAATGTGTATATTACAAGTTCAGCATAAAATTATTATTTAGTAGATTTATTAGGATTCTAATTTTAAAGTGGATAAATAATCAGTTCATATACTTCAAACCACTTTTATTTAATCTTGGAAAACTAGGTTGGAATATTTTGTGCTTATTTTTCTGGTAGTGGCTCTCCATTTAATTCATTTGTTTATTCAAATCTGATATTCTCTAATTCTTAGAAAGAAATTATATAATAAATGAGTATTATTTAAAAGGCAAAATATCATATAGAATTGGTCTAATTATATACTAATACATCAGTGGCCATAAATGGTTCGGTGATTTTTGGAGAATTTCAAATGGTACCTTATTTTTTTGAAACAAGATATTCTTATATGACTAATGTTAGTTACTTGGCTTCAAATTCAAACTGTTCGCTTTCATTACAACAAAACGTCTACGTAACATTTGATAGATAATTTATTACTCGAAAATAATTCAATTCAGAAATTTAAGTAATGAACATTCAAAATACAACGAAATTAATAATAAACCCATCCAGTTTATTTAATGGAAATATTTAAAATTATTCAAAATATTGTAGAGAATGCAATTCCTTTAATTTAACTTAGCCTATAAGTAAATTAACATCATAAACATTGAACTTTTCATTCTAAGCAGCAGTCAAAAGTAAGGACATTATCTTTATTTAAAACAATATCAGCGTGTACTAGCTAAGTGAATCATCTGGAGTTTACTTTATACTATATAATTTTACTTATTAAAATGCTTACTGTTATACGATATTTATAGATAAGTTTACTTAGTTTCCAGTTTCTATATGTTTTAATGAAACTACCTCTATATCTGCTTATAATCTTACAGGAAATACAGAGATATAATATAATTTTACAGGTTTTTCAAACTTATATAAAGCTAGTTATAATAATGGTGTACTCTAAATAATTACAATGAATTATAAACTATTAAATTAATAATATTCTTATTACTCATTCTATTTTTGGATATCAGACAACACCATTTATCTATAATAATTTTTTAATTCAAGTAATCTGTGTACTAATTCATATTTGGATTTTGTTTATCTTAGCATGTCTTCAAATTACACAGCTGAACCTTGTTAAATATTTGGATTTACATCTGTAGAAAAAAATGGTTTTTATAATCCTATATTTTACTTACTTAACACTTGTATCTCTTCTCAAACTAGTCAATAATTTGGCTTCTAATCTAATTAGTATGCTGAAAATTTCAATGTTTATTTTACAATAACAACTTGGAACTTATATTAAACACTACCCATCTACTTCAAATTTTTATTCGATATACAATAGTATCAAAATTCCAAAAATAAAACCAGCGATGTCATTGAATAGCAGTTTATTGTCCCATTAAGTTATAGTATTGAAATTTATGCTATATTGGTTAATATTAACAATGGAAAGATTATTAGGGTTCCGTAAATAAAGAAAGTTTATTTTCTAAGTTATAACTCTAATATTTAGTGGGATATTTTACATTTTAAGGA